TTTCAGCAAACCAGTGCCTGTTTCAATTTGCCAAGAAAGCATTTTGCTTTGGTAGTCCCGCTGCTACCTGTTCTTCGCGCGGGAAACAGGAAATAAAGCGCAAATTACTCCGCGAACATTTGATTTCGACTAAAACTACAGAAAGTCTGTAAAGCTTCGCTTGGAAATCTTGCATCGTGGAATAATACAATTTTTCTTGGAAATTTTGTCAAATTATTATTTGGAACTATTGTTGAAATTTATTTAAAAAGGAATCTAAAATTTATAAAATTACTAGGGGTGCTAAACACTCCTAAAAGTAACTAATTAATGAACATTAATTTTCTATAACACCTGTATCGTCAATTTATTCGCAAAATGCAGCAGTCAAGGCTGAAATATTAAATACCTTATCAACAGTTCACACTTCATTGATAACGGTTAAATGACAAAAATAAGTATCTTAGAAAGATTGATGTCGACACTGCTCGTTCACATTACACGTACACATGCAACCTATTGAAAATTTCACACACTTCATCGGTAAGATCTGCATAGGGAAAATGATTTCACCGGCAAGATTGATGTCGAGGTCTCTCGCATATATCTTCTCGACGAAATACCTATACAAATATGAACAGTTTATTACTCTTGATTAATGAACCTACAGTGAAATTTATGACAACATTTTAAAGGGAGACGAAGAAACTTAAGAATTTTCTATTAGCCCCCGAGCAGCCTTATCAAGGTTCTGATTAAACCGGGGCTTTTATTAGGGAAGAATTACGGTGAATCTGTCAACTGTCCTCGAATCCTTGGATAATCCCTCTGGAAGAGAAGAGATTTTTTTTTTTAATTTTAATCTTGCACGCTGTTATCTATTTAATCTTTCGAGTAATAATTAGATAAGTTTGCCTTCGAATACCTAAGAATTTCTCGAGGAATCCTATTAACGTTGCTCTGACTTGGTAGATCGTTTTGTTTATTAAAGATTATCTTCTGAAACGACATATTTCGTGAAGAGTGAAACGAAGGGGCTGTGCTTTCCAAAAACAGATGCCCATACGATCCGGAAAGTTAAGTTCGTTAAGTATCCCCCAGGGTCGTGTCTTATCGGCTAGACGTGGCTCTGATCCTCCACCTACCGTGCCGTGGCATAACAATTACCCTATTATTTCGCACACACCCCGACCAAAATCTCTCTTCATGTGTACTGATACACAATCTTCCGGAAATTTTTTCCTTCATTGATAATGCGACCGAATGATCACCCAAGAACTGTCTATAAATTCGAGAAACGTCAATTTTGTCACGCCACGTTTTTTGGCGATTCGTAGTTGCAATTAGAAGGAATTTCGGCTTGGAAGAGGCGAGTTTAATTCGGCGGAATTAGGAGCACGGAACCGGCTTCTTTTCCCGGTACGGTAAAGTCCGGAAATTTCGAGAGTTCGTCTCGACGTCTTGAGGAGTGAAACGGAAAAAAGGGACGGACAGGAGGAAACGGAGAGTCGAAAGAAAAAGGAAAGGAAACGAGACAAACGTCGAACTTCTAAAGAATCGACGGAAAGTAGAGTCGTTCGGAGAATAGCTAAAGCCGACCTTATACGCGTTTGGGAATTCCAACATCGACACAATTCGCATAATCCTTTTTTAAAGTACCTCGAGAATGATTGTGAGATCCTAGACGAGTTTAAACAATTTCCCTTTCGATAAAATGAAACTCCAGTGAATCTGAAGTGCACCACATCGACATGGTTTTGAAACATGGAAAGTCTGATGCAATTTCATGACAGAAAAGTATCACTCGTGATATATCAAATTAAAGCTTAAAGTTTGCCAAAAATTTCCATATAAATGCGCTTTGAATATTTTGACTACAAAATTAGTAGTTGTGGATCGCAACGAACACTGTTATTTCGTTCTATCAGATACCCAATTTTGACATCCATAAATTCCAAGGTAATATCATGACAGAAAAGTATCATCAAATGACGTGTATGATACATTAATTTGAAGCTGAAATCTTCACAAAAATGGCTATATAAACGCACCTTTAATATTCTTTATACAAAATGAATGGCTTCCTGCTACAAGTTTCTCCTGTAATCAGCTGTTAAATTTCCCTTCTTTTCTCCACGTACCAAATTGTTTAATGTAACAGAACATAAAATGTCAGCCTAGGAACATCGTAAATCCGTGAACCAAGTGTCTAGCAGTAATTTTGGAAATGAACAGCGGAAAACGTCAAGGATAATCGTGTTATAACGCGGACAAGTGGTCAGTTAGCAAAGTCCTTCAAATTTCGTAGCTATCTGTGTTGGCTGAATGGGACTCCAAATTTTAACACATTCGTTGTGTGTAATTCAAACAATGCAAACAACTTCGCCAATTAATTTTTTCTTTCAGTTCTCTTCAGTTTTAGTATTTTGAAATTCCAATTAGATCACGACGAATTCACCATTTCTTGGTACTGTTCAATAACAATCGACGTAGCATAAAACCACAAGAAAACCAGATTTCAAAGGAGCACTATGGGATTGCGGGCCAGTTTCCCAAGTTGGAAACGTGAGCAACATCCCAGCGTTGCATATCTGCATACTCTATAAAATCAGGTTCTGTTGGGCGCATGCAAAATTCAGAAAACCACCCCAAAAATACTCGGAACTCTTCAGAAAGTAGCTCTAGATCACTCTTCACCATGAAATTCTATTTTTGAAGTGATACATTTTAGAGCTTCGAAACTATTCGAATTTTGGTTGAATACCTACTTGTAACTTCGGAATTCAGAAGTTGATGTAAATTTCATTCAAACTTTGCAAATTTGTCATTTACTCTTGAAATCTTGCAATTAATTTTTAACTTAATAAATATGCTGAAGCTTTTGAAAAGTAATTAAATAGTAGGAATCAGCGTGCTATTGATGCGTCCATTATTTCTTGAAAAGGAAAAATAAAATTTGTCCAATGAAACTGCAATAATGAAGTGAAAAGAACATCCTTTAAGTTTCATATGGAATGGAATACTGCAATAATTAATTTACACAAGTTCTTTGACGTTTCTACAGACGCCATTGTGATTAAGAGGAAACTCGGACTCTGTAATTGAACAGTGTAAGAGAATGTAAATGATAGGAGCTGCAAGTTCATTATGAAGCAGTGGCGTTGTAAAATTGTTCGAGAAACTTTTGTGAATGGCAGTTAATTATAATTAATTCCATATTGTCTGGTGCTAATTCCTTGTCGGAGGTGTATCATTCAAATGGTCTCTGCAAAGTTCTACTTATTGCTGGGATTGATATGAATACAAAATTAGTCTGCATATTATATTTTTTAAGTGATCTATATAAAATATTATTCTATATTCTATAGCAATTCTCTCATAAAAAGAGAGAGCTGATTTTGAAACATCAAAAGTTTAGCATGATTTCATGACAGAAAAGTATCACCAACTACCATTTGTGATACATCAAAATAAAGTTTCAACCTTATAAAAAATAGCTATATGAACGTACTTTTAATATTCTTAATAGAGAATGAGTAGTAGTCGATCGCATCGAACACTGTCAAATATCCAAATTCGATGTGTATACTTTCTAAGCCAAATTCATGACAGAAAAGTATCATCAAATATCATTTATGATACGTTAAATTAAAGTTTAAATCTTAACAAAAATAACTATATAAATGCCCCTTTAATATTTTTGATACAAGCTGAGTAATCGTGGATCGCAATAAATACTGGTATTGTACTCTGTCAAATACCAAATGTCAACGTGTATAAATTCGAATTCAATTTCATGACAGAAAAGTATCACCAAATACTACTTATGATGAATTAATTTAATGCTTAAACTTTCCTTAAAACAACCATGTAAATGCCTTTTGAATATTCTTAATACACGATGAATAGTTTCGTATAGAAACGAACAATGTGTCAAGGAATTTTAAAACGGCTGAAAGGAATATCATACGAGCGAGCGATCTTGCGTTGGAATTAGATGAATGTAATTGGCGTGAAATTTTAACTGGAATACGTCAGAGAATGCGAGATGAACCATAGTCGGAAGCGTTCAGGAGCATATTATCAGTTCGTTCTCCGCTCATAGGAAACCACAATTTCCACGGATTACCCGGACGAAAACTGACTCTTGCGACTGTACGGCATCGGCCAGGCTGCTGGAATTCGTGGGTCGTGGGTTATGCCGCATTCGGTGGTATGTAGTAATTAGCAACATTGCTCCGAGAAGCCAAAGGTGGAAGGAGGACGAGGCTGCAGAATCGAGGTATCAGCAAGGATTTCATTCGAAGGAATAGGACACGCGACCGAGACACATTAACTCCGAAATTGCTGCCATACAATCCATCAATTTGTCCATGCCAGAACTGGCTAACACTTGAAAATAAACATTTCTCTTTTTATGACACTGCAGACTGCTTCCTAATAAAGTAACACCTGTAAATGAATTATGTCTCTAGTTTACTGTCTCCAGCCAGACAAAAACTATCCTGAACAGGAGGAGACGAAATGATCCAAAGTTCTGCGTTGGTACCATTTTTTGGTAGCAATTTCTATTTGGAACAACTGACGCTGGTAAAACTTTGTAAGTCGTTATGCAAAGATGAAAATTAGACTGAAGATCAGAAGGTAATTAGCAGAAGTCTTGGAAGGCCTTTTAAATAATCATTGTAACATGTTGCATCTTTTAACGCAAGAGTTTCATAATTTATTTATTTTCAAATAATAGCATCACTTGAGGTGCCAAAGTACACGTCTGCTTTGAAATACGTCCAATTTGGAATACGTCCTATTCGGACGTGATAAGTTTTTCTCGGTATACGACTTCTGTTCAGTATACGAGATACATTTTTTGTGTGAATTTTTTATTTATGTGTTAAAATTATTTTACAACCCCATTAATGTAGGTATAATATCAATAGGAGTTTTTTTTATATCAGAACGGATTAATTATTTTTACATTACTTTTTATGGGAAAGGTTGGTTTGGTATACGTCCTATTCGATATTAGTCCAAATATCAGAAAGGAATTAAGTTGGATTAAGGTACCGAGGTTCCACTGTATAAGTATACAATCACGCACGCGCATTGCACGTGGCCGCAATCGCACGTTAGTAATGCTCCATTCACCATTCCCTCAACTGGTGGAATATTCCAAAAAGAGAACGATAACGACTATCAGAAATTAAAAGGAAGAAAATCACGTGGTAAATAGTAGTCTTAAGTTCGTTACGTAAGCTAGATTCATGAGACGCCGTCATTGTCTATCCATTTTAGGTTTCACACTATATGCTCAGCTGACTCTGATCTATTGTAGTCTAGCTACAATAACGTACTCAAATAGTGGGATCATGTCTCAAAGATCTGACTCAATAGACATATCTGGCCTGCAGGACATACAAACACCTTTTGGGGTGCAACTGTCAGGTATTTATAAGAGGTAATTGCAATTTTGTCTGATCTATTTAACCTGGAAGCAGTAAATTATTTACGTTAAAATTCTGTGTTCATTGCGTTGAGTATTTTAATAGAAAGGTATTATGCGTAACATATTGATTATACATGTTTATTCATTGATACACTGAATGTTTTTTGCAGGAGCTTTGCTTATGTAACAAATAAGGATAGATTGCCTATTATTTTAACTAAAATAATTGATAATCTAAGTCGTAATAAGGAAAGCATTACACAAAAATATGGAAAGGTAAAATATATACCCATAGGTACATGTATTATAATTGATTGTCTATTAATATTTAAAATTTTATAGAATGCCACAGATGAAATTAAACAAGAAATTAAAGAAATAGTAGGATTTATTAGTAAATTAAAGAATGAAATAACTACAAACAAAACTCTGAAACCAATACCATTACTCCCAAATGGAAAGAATAATGATGCTGAGGAATGGAATAAATATCTAATTAAAAGAACTGAGATAGAAGGTGGTACACCAACATGGTTTAATACTATTTGGTTGTACGGTGAATGCTATATGTATCGGATACTTGTACAAAAATTCCTTCTCATGTATGTTTCAAACCCATTTTTATAATTAGTCCATAATTAAGTTACTAGGAAATAATCTTTCTGTTTCAGGAAATATTTGCACAATTATGATCCTTTTGAGCAACAGAAACAAGGTGCATTTGTAGATTCACTAACTAGCATAGAGTTCCTTTCTACGTATATCATGAATCTTACACTTAGAGCAGAGTCTTTATCAGTAGTTGAAACCAAAGAGGAATTTTTCAGACTTCTTAAACTAAATCTCTGGGGCAACAAGTATGTGAACAATTTTTTTATACAATGATACTGAACAGACTAACTGATGTATATATTTTCGTAGGTGTGATTTATCTCTAAGTGCAGGAGCTGAAGTCAGTCAGAGTAAAAATCCTATAGATGTATTGAAATCATTGGATGAAGACATTCTTGTAAATAATTCAGAATTTATTTGGAACTTACTGAAAAACAAGGAATCTAACAATACAGTTGTTATAGATATGATACTTGACAATGCAGGATATGAATTATTCACTGATTTGTGTTTATCTATATTTCTGATTTCTTATAAACTTGCTGGAAAAATAAGATTCTATGTAAAACGTTATCCATGGTATATCAGTGATGCAACAAGAAATGATTTTTATTGGACTTTAGAATATATGAAAAATTCACCACATAAAGATCTACAAAAATTATCTGAATTGGCATATGATCACTTGAAGAATAACGTCTGGACCATTGAGGTATACCTTTATTTTACTCTACATAATTTTTATAAAATAATTACAACATAAACTATATTTTTTCTTTAGGAAGAGTCATACTGGACAGGTCCTCATGATTTAGCAGAGATGAAAGAACATGATCCAGTATTATATGCAAAACTGTCAGAAGCTAAATTAGCAATATTTAAGGGTGATTTAAATTACAGAAAATTAGTAGGTGATATAAATTGGGAGTATACCACAGAATTTACTAAATCATTGAGAGGTTTTCAGCCAACAAATATTCTAAGCTTGAGAACAGTGAAATCAGATGTTTGTGCTGGTTTAGCAGTTGGTGTAGCTGAGGAATTATTTAGGAAAGATGAGAACTGGATGTGTACAGGACAGTATGGGCTCATTCAAACAACTCTGGCTGGGACGTGTCATTGTAATAGAATATGTTAAAATACTATGAATTAAGAAATATTTAAAATACTGAATTATATCATTGTACAAAATTACATGTACTTATATGATCTACCAATTGGTAAACATATTACATTTGAATTGTTTAAGTACTTATACAGAGTATAAGGGATCATATCTAAATTACGTAGTACATAATTTAAATTATGGACAATTGCTTGTACATTAAGATTTTTATGATATTAACATTTTGTATTTTTGAATCTTCCTACTGTAAACTTTTCTTCCAAAATGTATGATTTAAATATACAGTGTTTTTACATGAAAATGTAAATTCAAAATATTAAGTAATGTTTTTTTCATAGGATTCTTTCCCCTAAAATAAATCAGTTGTAAAAATTTCAAAAAAAAGATATATTTCTTTTTAGTTCTCCTATCTAATACCAGACGACGACATTGTATAAAAAGCGTAATCAATTATTATCATGTGAAACTCTTCGCCCTGCAACAATCTAATGCACATTGATGGTAATAGCAGATTACTTCGATACCAAAGACTATATCCCACCGCTTAGTCAGTGTCTCGAGCTTAGCCTTGCCATATTATATCAAGGTGGTTGATCCAGCCCTTCCCTCAATACTAAATATGACGGCTTCACCACCAAAACCGGTGGGGCCGTCAGGGCTGCTGGCGTCAGGAGTGGAGCTCCGAGCGCATTTTCACGCAGCCCGACAAACCGGTACCGGGCACGACTCTCGGTGTCGGTCACACTGTAGACTGTAGGCAGCAGGAAATCTCAATTTGGACCTCTCCCGAGAGGGGCACCTGTGTACCAGACGTGGAGGGTTCCAAAGTAATATACTTAAGGTCCCAGAGCCCTCCTTTAGCGCTAGTGGGGTTTTATTCAGTAGGAATCTGACACTCCCCCGCTGCCCTCCACCCGGGGATGTTGCGGGGTCTTATGCTAAACCTCATATGTCTATATTTTATTTCCTGCGTACAGTTAATTTGCTGTATTAATCTTCTTATCTTATTGAATAAACTCATTAGGATGACGAACGTGTTGATTTTATTACTCCCGAGTGCATTCTTTACATCCCTGATTCCTTTACATCATTTCTGCACCCCTTATATCACTGCATTATTTACATCCCAGCATTCCTTACATCACTGCATCCTTTACATCTCTGCTTTCTTTATATCCTTGTATCCTTTACACCTCTGTCCCTGCGTCCCTCACATCGCCGTGTGCTTTACATCCTTCTATCCTTTACACCTTTCTATTCCTTGCACCCTTCAATCTTTTATATCTCCCTATCACTTAAATGTCGGAACTTTTTACAAACCTGCTTCCCTGATAGCCCTGCATCCTACAAATCATGCTATTCCCTACATTCTGCGGTCCCTTACATCCCTTTATCACTTACATTCTTGAAATCACGCTCCCGGCGTTCGTAACAGCGCCCTCTAGTGGCAAAAAAGGAATTAAAGTACGAATAAATTTAGCGCCCTCTGGCGGCAAGCAAAGGAACTAAACCTTGCAGAAATTTGGCCCTCTAGCGACAAAAATGCGAACTAAAATTTCGACGTCGAATCAGCGCCATCTGGATTTTAAAAAACGAACTAAATTTTCCCGAAATTTTGGCCCTCTAGCGGCAAAAATACGAACTAAAATTTCGACGTCGAATCAGCGCCCTCTGGATTTAAAAAAACGAACTAAATTTTGCAGCAATTTTGGCCCTCTAGCGGCAAAAATGCGAACTAAAATTTCGACGTCGAATCAGCGCCCTCTGGCAGCAAAGGAAGGAACTACATTTTGCAGAAATTTTGGCCCTCCAGCGGTAAAAATTTGAATTAAAATGTCGACCTCGAACCGGGATGTAAGGGATGCAGGAACAAAAGGAATGCAGGGATATAAGAAGTGCTGGGATGTAAGGGATGCAGGGATACAAACGATACGAGGATAGAAGTAGTCCCTGCAAGGTCCATGAAAAGAATGAAAAAAATAAATGACCATAAAGAGTAGGAATAGGATAAACAATAACTGGGAAGGGTGGTCCCCGCGAGGCCCACAAAGAGATATGAAATAATAAATAATTAAGAAGCGTGGGTTTGTCCTATAAAGGAGAATAAAATAAACAATAGGGCGGACTTTAGTCCATAAGGAAGGATAAAATAATAAGCTCCTAAGGAAGGATAAAATAATAAATAAAAGGGGTGGTTGTCCAAGGCCCCGAAGAGGGATAAAATCATAAATTTTATTCCTCTTTGAATTATTGTTCTTAATAAACGGATAAAATAAATAAAGTAAATTAAATAAACTCCGGAGGGAAATTCGAAGTATATCTATGTTTGATAGGTTGATCCGCACCCCTCGGCGGTCGCTATAAGACTGAGGAGGTCGCATCTCCTTCTAGGTCAAACTTCTCATATTGGGAAGTAATTACTGTGTTTTGATTTAAATTTGATTTTCATGTATATTATGTTTATAATTTATTAAAGATCAAACAGTTGTGTTATATATAAATAACTGAGATACGAAGTTAAGTACATTGAATAGCTAAAATGATAGAAGAATTTAAGTCAGTTAAATAAATAGCTGAGAAAAGAAATTACTAGCATTAAATAAATAACTCAGAAATGAAATTGGTTAAATTAAATGATAACTCAGTTGCCTTTTTCAAATGATTTATTTACCAAAGTGCATGAAGTGAATACAAGTTTGTCAAACAATTACAATAATAATTTTTCAGTTTCGTGTTGCTTTATACTGATTTAAGAAAGAAATAGTTAATTAAATGTTAATAATTAATAACAGAAAGGGGTGGCCTAGGCGAATAATGAGGGATAAAATTATATAAATAACTGGAAAAAGTGAAATAAAAGGGGTCCTCGGCTGAGGCCCAGTAGAGGAATACAATCATAAATGTTATTCCCCTTCGATGAGCTTATTCAATAAGCAAAGAAAATAAATTAAGTAAATTAAATAAACTCCGGAAAGAAATTAGAGAACGATTATGTTACTGGTTGTACCCTCTTCATACGGACCTAATTTCATCCAGGGGTTCCGGGGACCCCGCTGCGCCAAAACGCCTTCTGTATACCGACATAATATCACATTGGGGTGTCAAGGACCCCATTGCGAAGGGACTCTGCGTACCGACCGATATTATATTGGGGTGTTAGGGACCCCGAAGCACCAGGACGCTCTTTGTATACCGACATTGTCTTTGCGTATAAGATTGAAATTATAATATGGAATAAACCCCATGCAATTATCGTCCATTTCGCTATCTATACAAAAACTATTCGACAATTTACCGACTGATTTTCCGAAAATGGCTGTTTGGCAACTTACCAATTGATTAACAGGATTCCGTGAGATCGGTCGGCAAGTTATCGAATAGTTTCCATGGTTTTCGAATAGATGCCGCGCTGAAGCCAAATAAAAATTTCAAAGGAGAACAGGTCCATTCTGAAACGGTTTATTGTTTACACGAGCCGTTGTAATGCGTACAATATTGCTTTACTGACCCGAATCAACCAGTCGATCGAGCTTCACAGACGACGACATACAATATCGGCGATCATTTTCATTTCGTGTTTACCGATCGGAAACAAACGATAAAATATATCTAAGGAACATTTAATACTTATCTTTAGAACGATTCACCCTCGACTCGAGAAACTGTTTCTTTCGTTCATGCTTCGAACACAAGCATGTGCGCTGACTTAATTATCAATATTTCGCTGTCTGTCTATGAATATGATTGAACTTGAAAAGGCATAGAAACAATAATTAGGAAGGACGTTGCATTTTCAATGGATAACCGCGGGCTTATTGATCTAATTAACGCGTTGATTGTGAAACTGATTGATTGATAATAATCGTTCCCATCGTTATTAAGATATTCAATACGTAGCAATTATATACAATGTGTAGCAGTGTGGCCGAGAGCCGCGAGATCATGCTTTATCCTTCGTTCAAACATTCAAGTAATTGTCCATTCGACATCATTCCTATGTACAGGAGATAAATCTATTACGGGTACAGGGTGTTTTGAAAGTAGTAATCAAACCAAGTCCCCAAGATTAATTAAGACTACGAAACTGAAGGGCAAAGAGCAAAGCAAATTAAAAGTATGATAGTTCTAAAGGAACTTTTGAAAATTCCCTAATATAAGAATGAAAAAATTCTAAAGAAAATATGTCCCAAAAGCCTACTATTCATAGGTAATAAGTTTTATAAACCATGATCATTACTTTTGTAACATCCTGTAGGCATATCTTTGCTTTTGATTTTCTTTCCGGGCAATTGTCGTGTCGCTTGATCTATGAAACTCCTCGTGAAATCAGCGACGCGTCTCGCGGCTCTCGGCGGCTTGACTTCGAATGGAAGGAATACGATTTCTATCTTACAAGCTGAATAATGGTGGTGCGTTAACGTAGTACAAGTGCGCCTTCTATCAAACGCGATCGCGAGCTTTACGGATTAAACTTCATCAGCTCACCGTTTAAGATGCTCTATTACTCGTTATTACAAACTAGAAACAATCTCTAATGACTTTGCGAGTAGAACAATGTAAATTAGGCTCTTGAGCGGTAGTGTCTAGACGCTTAGTGAAACGTAATCGCGCGTTTCGCTAGCTAAACTACTCAACGATTACTGGCAACTTCGACGAGTTCGCTTATTTAAATAAAAAAAAAAAAAAAAAAAAAAAAAACCCAATGAAAAATATAAAAACTAATAGAAACGAAAAGACAGATATCGAACGACGTCGAAATCGTGTTACGCGTTGCTTCGTCGAAAATGCCTGTTCCGTGTGTCTGATTCGGTGGAATGAGAGAAGTTAACGGCGTTTAGGGGCAAAGGTCGTTATTACATGTAAAAGTATTAAACACGCTTCGTACTTTGATAGAAACATGAAAAACAAACCGATATACTCTACGCTTTCGTTCGTTCAATACATCTCACGCACACATCCACTCGCGCGTGTAATCGCATAGAACTCTCTCTCTCTCTCTCTCTTTCTCTCATCTTCTAATTATACGAGCTACAGTACGGTTTGTGGATCTTCTTCTTTCTCGTTCACCCCTTAGGCCATTCCACGAGACGGCTACGGGATTTTGTTGAAACGGTGCGAAGTAGAAAGTATCGCACCTTTAAATCTACTATTAATCTGTAGGTTTTACAAATTCATCGAATACCTTCAACTACCACGGATCCGAGCAACGCGACGCTCGAACCTTAAGAGTGTACGGATACAGAGACTCCGGTTCCTTAAAAAACTGCCTTTTACCTCGACGAATGTTACTGCTGGTTGAAAAATTTATTGCAAAAACAGT